AAGTAAATTAAATCATAAATAAATAAATACTTTCAAAAAGGGGAAAAAATGTTCTTTAAACAGAGATCAACTTTCCTCGCACTCACCAGGCTGACCTCCTCCACTGTGATGGGCTGCGTCCGGTACCGGGACCCCTTCTGCCTTCGCCTCTCTGGGGGTCCAGCAGAGGGACCAGCAGGGYGTCCGGCCCCTTGCCTCCCGGGGAGGGACAGTTTATTGAAGAGGTCCAGCTTCTCCCTCATGCTCATCTTGCAGCTCTCATCTCCGTCCTCCTCTGACTCCACGTGAGCAGACTGAAGCTCCTCCGATGTCGGCGCCCTGCCACCAGGATTTAGCTTTTAGCTTGTGTTTAGATTACAGCTACTGTTTTGATAGTTTTAACTTTAATAATTCGTTCTTCAGTTTTTAATAATCTTTTTTTTTTTAATTCAGCTCCTCCCACCTGARGGCCACCTTCTCCTCACAGGTGATTGGCTGAGTGAGGAAGCGATGGTCGTTGCTGCGGCGCATCCGGCGTTCATGAACAGAACCAGTCGAGCGAGGGTTCAACTGGGCCGGGACCTCAGGGGCAGCAGACTTCTCCAGCTCCTGCAGAGCAGCCAAAAATAAATAAATAAAAACAGAGGACCAGAAAGATCCAACAACCACCCCCCTCCTCCTCCTCCTCCAAGATTTGTAAAGTCGGTTAGTTTCTCTTTTAAAAACGGTGCCAATAGTGTCAGATTGCCCTGGGCACGTAAATGCAGATTTGGGCAGGTGGACGTGTCCCAATGATGAAGCACGTAAATGTTTTTGTTTTTAAACAAGGTCATTTAATTTAAAAATTCTGAAAATAGATTAATAAATGCAGCATGTTAAACACTTAGACATGCATTTTATTTATTTTTTTTATCTCTGAATTCTTTAATTTCCTGTTCAAAGGATGAAACATTTGATTGCGCAATCCCTTCCAGCCTGCGCTGGAGATGAGAGAATCTCCTGCAGCCCCATCAGACTACAGTGAGGAGGGCCTCCACTCCCCACAAGTGAACTATAGGAAACAGATGTTAGGATATGAAATGACTTTAGGTGGAGGGCAGGGGTTTCACCTTGGTCACCTGCTCATCTCCATCGTATCACTTGTTTGTTTGTAGCAGGTGAAACAGGGTAAAGTGGTGCTGATGAGTAACAAGCTGGAAGTTGGAGCTTCATGTCGGCCCAACGGGTCAGAGCGAAACCTGAGACCCGCCGGCTTCGGTTACCTCACCTCCTTCTCTAATTATAACACAGCTGCTGCCTGCTAATGACACATTTCCACCTGATCCTTCAGAACTAAAAGCTGCTCAGGAGCTGAWGCGTTGCACAAACATCCGGGCTGATCCGACTGTAAATGTAGAGTTTTGTTTCAAACCCGACTGAAGAGGAGGAAACTTACTTTGAACAAAGACATCTTGGCCGCCACGCTCATCTTGGCTCTGTCGTCTGTTTTCACATCCGCTGCAGGAGAAGAGGTGAAAATGTGAGGAAAAAAAACAGAAGCTGTTTGTGATTTTTCACAGCAGCTAAAAAAGGTTCTGCTGCTGATTAAACACTTTTAAACAAACGTGTAACAACACGTCAGAKAAACCTCTAAAACACACTTGTTTCTGCAGCTCGTTTACCAAATAAAAGCAAACCTGTTTTTAACACTGAGGTCAAATAAGACTAGAACGGACCTGGCATCGGCTCTGCGTGTTTTATCAGACATAAAACTGTCAACACCGAGGATGTTAAATAAGACGAGACTAAAATAAAAACAACTTTATTTCCAGGACACTGACAGGGATTAACCAAGGCAGCTGTGTGAAGGATTCATAAAGACAACTGAACTGTGAAAAGTGCAGGACGTATTAATGATACGTAAAAAAAAAAAAAACGAGTTGTTAGAGCTGAAATAAACCAATGGCTAAAGGCCAAAAGCGCCAACAGACAGGCTAAAAGCTAAACATAGCAGACGGTAGCTAACAGTTGGAAAAAATACTGGTTAAACACTTGAAGTAGCAGATGGTAGCCYACAGTATCTAAAAGCCAGCTAATAGTGACCAAAAGATGGCTGAAAGCTAAATAGGGGTGCATGATAACTATCGGCCCGATATCATAAACAGAAACGATAATATATGCATACGTTTGCCAGTGAGGTAGAAAGTGTGCTTATTTATTTTAATCCTTTTTGGTCAAGCCGCTTCTCGTCCTGCTCAACTTGCGCAACGTTCAAGTGGCATCGAAAAAACAACTCTCTCCCTAGAAAAACAATTAGAATACTTTGTGCTGGAAAACAACCAGTCATTTTAATAATCATTAATGTTATTTTACCAATTAACCATGTATGTTACACACAAACTTTATAATTATTAACATAAAAAGGTTGGAACAACTACTCCCAATTTGAGAACATGTAATGTCTGTTACCTCTTGAATGCAGCACAAAGTCTGTCTGCTAAAATGCTAACAACAACAAGCTAGCGTTCAAGAACTCATTGAGACTTAAATCATTGCTGAGGATTTTGACAAATCTAAAAAAAAAAWGCCAGAGAGAACGCAAATCTCAAGCAATTTAACAATGGAAATGATGACAACACTTCACCCTCCCTTGTGTTAGTGCATTATCTGTTTTGAACTTGTGCAATGACTTTTTCTCTTTTGTTTAAATCTGAGATCAGTGTTAAAGGTCTTTTTTTATAATTAATGTGCCTTATTTAAAAAGATGGCCATTTGAGAAATTGTTTTGTTTGATATACTTTAAGAAACGTTTGTTTGCTAAGAGTTTATTTCAAATAATGTAATTTACAGTGTCACTTGGTTTCGGACTAGTTTATTTATGTTATGACCTTACCCATTTRTGACTAGTTCTCCTGGCATGTTATCGGTTATTATCGGTTATTATCGGCTATTATCGGCCGTTAGAAGGAGAAAGTTATCATTTATCGGTTCTTAAAATGAGTTATCGTGCATCCCTAAATCTTAAAGCAGTAAGAAACCATAAAATTACAGCCAGTACTGACTGTACGAGAATAAAAGAAAATAAACTTTTACCTTTCTTATTCTCCTCTTCTTCTCCGTCCATCAGCCTGGAAGAATCAGTAAAATATCAGGTCATCAAATACAACAAAATGAAAACTGATCGCTTTTTRCTGCAGCTGCCGTAAGTCATTTCAACAACTGTAAACTCCTAAAACTGCTTCCTGTGTTTCCAGTCGCAGCTCAGAGAAACGGCGGAGAAATATTTGCATCCTTGATAAACGGTGGAGGTCATGTGGGATAAAGAGGTCATGCAAAGCAGACTGTCCATGAGCTTCTGTGGTTCTGCTCAACATGCGCCTCAGTTTAACCCATTTTATCAGCGAGGAACTAATAACCATAAACATGATTTGTTTTCACTTTATAAAAAAATATAAAATAAAATAGACCTACCTGCTCTCCTCCACCTCGTTGGCCGTGATCGGCTGAGTTCTGAAGCGCTCGCCGGACTTGCGTCCGCCGCTCGTCCCTCCAGGAAGGTAACGCCGAGCGCGCCGCCGGCCCCCCTCAGAACCCGGCTTCACGGCCAGGTCCAGAGAGGACGTGGACCACCCGGCCTCCAGGCTGCACAAACACAGGTGAGGAAGAAGAAGCTGAGATGAAGGCAACAACTGTCACAAAGATCACACACGCAGGAGAGTTTACACTTTCTCCGGCTCCTCTCCGCTCTCCGTCTGCTGCAGGAGGGCYCTTCGTAACTGACCCACCGACACGCCGGTGTGGAGCTGCGGGGCGTTGGGTCCAAGACTGTTGGCAGAGTCCTGGAAACCCTGGCTGTAAGGGGGGGGCAGGGGCGAGGGGGAGGCAGGTGAGGACGAACTCTCAGAAACAAAAAAATTAACAAGTACAGACCAGTTCCAGGAGGAACTATGAAAGGGCCTGCCACGTGCAAGATTTAAGTTCACCGTTTGATGGAGACCACTGTCATCGACAACCATACCAAATTTCGCCTCAGAGTTATGGTCAGTTCTTCTGTTTAGTTATGGCGGCCATCCTGAATTTTTCATTTAATTATATGATGAGGATTGTTCTCAGCAACCACCACACCAAATTTTATTCCAATATGTTTAAAAATGACTGAATTATAGACAATTATATTATTTAAGCTTTGGTAGCCATCTTGGATTTTTGATTTATGTGATGAGGATTGTTCTCAGCAACCACCACACCAAATTTTATTCTAATATGTTGAAAAATAACTGAATTATGGACAATTTTATATATTTTAGCCATCTTGATTTTTTATTTAGCTTTCAGATATTGTCAAACCTTGTTCTTGACACCGTTGTACCAGTTTTCAGCTTTGTAGGTCTTAAAATACAACCTTATCTAAAATTAGCATTAGCGATTAGTCTAAACTTGTGAATAGCATTTAAAATGTGTTGGGTTAGCTCGCAGCTACCAACCCACCATATTTCAGCTTCATATGTCTCAAAACATTTGAGCTATCTAGGTGCCATGTTGACCTACACAAACTCCATCTTTCAGTCTCTCACTCAAGAATCTATTCRGTCCAGTAACAGGCTCAGCCAATCAGAAGGCCAGATTGTGATGTCATTAGGAAACCTAGCAGGTGTCAAATTTCTGCAGATTAAAGTGGGGAATATGCAGAAAAGTTTAGTTCAAACAAATGTCCGCTGTGTAAAATCTATAAGATCTATTGAAATAATTCTTGAACCACGAGTGAGAAAAGAGATTGATTCTTAATCACGGGAATTTTCAAAATTTTGTAGCACTTTATGTCAGAGATATGACGACTTAAAAACGGTCTTCGCTTTGCTACTGAACCGGAGCTTGAGAAAAACAACATGGAGTAGTATGGAACGAGAACTGGTAGCACTCTGCCTTCTGTGGCACTTTGAGAGAAAACCATTTGTCCTACAGCAAAACCAGAAACATTGAAAGACAAAAACGCCTACATTTTCATGTATAATTTGTTTGTGTATCGTAAAAAATGTAGCTGTAAGAAGAAATTGTTTGCCAAGAAATCATTTGAAGCCACAAAGCGCACCACTGTAGGTCACATGACTCAGAGTGTGGCCATTTTTTCAGCTGAGAGCTGAGCTTYGTGTACTCCTATGAGGTTTTTTTGACTGTAGTATTTTGTAATTTACATCTCCATAGTAACTTGAAATGCCACTAAAAGTAATAGCACCCCTCCCATTGCCGAGCCGGTCGTTTTGATATGAAATTTTTAGGGGTGCATGTTGCTGTTCGGGCTGAATTAATGTACGCAGGGCTCTAAAGTGCGACTAATTTGATCCCAAAGGCGGCCTTATTTTATAATAGTGCACCTTAAAAATATTTCCGGTCGAACTGGTGGTTCTTTTTTAACCCAGAGTCGGAAAAACCTTTCTTTCTTTCTTTTTTTGTTAACTGTGGAAATGATATGTGGATGGTTGCTTCCTCTTAATTTTCAGTGGTAAAGTCCATCTTGCAGTCAGGTTCTGCTCTGCAGCAGATTATTCCAGCAGGAAGCTCACCTGTATGGCAGGTCGCTTTTACATATAATCGGCTTCACCGGTTACGTTCCAGGTTCTGAAAATGGTTTTATGACTGCACAGTTTAGTTTTTTTAGTAAGAGATACATACAATTCAACTAATACAAATTAAATTGAAGACTTTTTCATGTTATGTTATTTTCATTATTTTAAAAAAGCTTTTTCACATTTAATAAATATTAGTAATATTTCTGCTGTTAATCATAATTCTCTGTTCATCAGGTTTGGCCCAAGATCCTGAAGGCATGAGTTGTCCATCTGAGAAACATGTGTAGTCTTAAATACATTTAACCATGAAATGTTTAAGATGTTGATAAAATGTTCAACCCTTAAACATTTGTACTTAGAGTTTAGAATTTCTTTCATTTCATTTATCTTGATGTTTAAGTTAAAACTTGAGGTCATAGAATCACTTTAAAATTACTTTTCAGTAAGTTGTATGTCTACAATTCTGGTTCAAATGAAGAACTTTATTTTTTGCCAGATTTTTAAATTATTTGTGAGTTAATATTTCCTTAATGGATAACAATGATTTTTTAAAAAAGTGAACCATTAAAACATCAATGTTAAATGTGATGCATTTGCAAATTTGGGTGCACCTAACATTTGTSCTGGTGCACCTTAGGAAAAAATGTTAGGCACACCAAAAAGTTAGTCTAGAGCCCTGGTACGACTGTGTGTCTATACCATTTTTTAAAGTATAGAGATCCCTTTTTAAGGTGGATAAAGAGGGAGGCAGATTGGCATGCCCTAATAAATATCTCCCGTCAATCTCTGCAGAGAAACATCCAGTAAAATCAGATCATACAGCATGATGAACTAAAACTTCAGATACGGAGCAAAGATTTGCTGAAAGTCATCTTCAGCTGCAGCAGCTTTCAGGTTTGACTCTGGCGAGTGATATGCATTCCTTCAAGGATTGTTAGACTTTTAACTCTGTTACTGAGTTAATATTCTATTTCTGGGTTTAATACCAAAAAACTTAACAGTTTTTCTCTCAGGTTTTCACCTAAATGAGCTCCAGGTTGTTTTTAGAAACAAATCTGACTCACCCTCTCAGGGAGTTGTTCTCTGCAGGAACATCCTCCYCGACTCCATTTAGAACCTCTTGTGTTCTGCCGTTTGCCCTTTCGCCGAGGCCGTCCGAGTCCAGCCCACTTCTTGGGGTTTGGGTCAGCTCTCGCCCGTCCCTCCTCTCACATTTGGAGGGAAGCTCCTCTGTCACGCRGTAGCGTTCGGCCAGTTCTCGCCGCCTCTCGGCTTTGTAGCGGGCGATCCTCTCCGCCCTGGGCTCAAGGACCGGGTTCTCCGTCGCCTCCATGTCCCCCCCACCCCCAGRCCCCGAAGGATTTAAGTTTTCACCTGCAGGGTGTGTGAGGAAGGAGAGTCTGTCCTCCGCTTAACGGTGACGCCAAAACACAGGAAATCAGATTCCATCAGACCTCTTCGTCTGTGTTGATTCTGCTCCTCAGAGACTTTTCTCCTGAAAGAAAATGAAAATTAAATGCAGCAGAACTGATAAAAACAACTCGTTAACTCATTATCTACAACACAATAAACAAATATTAAAAGATGTTCTCCTCAGGGCTGTGTACTAAGCCCCCTTCTTGAGTCATCTCTATAAAGATGGCRGCCACAACATCGTCAAATTTGCTGACGTCACAGAGGGGGAGGTAGATATAAGCGATTTTTAAAGTGTTTATTCTGCACATTTCCTGTTAAATCAACAAGTCTGACATCTCTGAATCGGCCCTATCAGTAACCGTTAGTTTTCTAACCTGAATCCCTCCTCCTCTTCCTCAGGTCCATGTAAGATGATCAACTCCAGCCTGCAGGAATCTCTTCTTGCATTGAAACTCAACACCTGGGCTCAGCTCCAAACGGTCCGCGGACTCGCCTCTCTTCCACTAAAACTACAAATAACCTAAAGCAGAACAACCTGCGTCACCCTTTTTCACCGCTGCAGCGCKGACGCCGAGCGAGCCGTCTCATTACAACAATCCCTGGTTTTTAATTATTCTTAAAACACATTCAGTGATCTGTTTYTTATTATGTGTTTTGTTCTGGGCGCATTTTAATTCATCATTTTCAAAATAAATGTTAAGTCACTTAACTCTGACTTATAAAGCATTCAAACACAAATCTTGGTTTGCAACAACAAAAATGAATAATAGCGAATAACTGGGCTAAGTTCCATAAAATTTTTTGAAAAACCTTCAGAAAGCTTGAAGAGGTTTAGATAAAAAGAAAACGAGGCTCCTTCGATGCAAAATATGATCAATATAAGAAATAAGATTTTGCACTTTACTGTACTTCAGAATATACAGTGAGTGTTTTCGTTTGTGTCGGTGTGTTTCTCCAAACTGTGMGCGTCAGCATTCCTGCTGCAGGAAACATAATGGAGACGAACAAAGAGCTGCGAGCCGCAGACTTAGTGCAGCACGAGGACCTGCTGAGAGGCTGGACGGCTGCAGGATTCACCAAATTGAAAAACTTCATATTTGATCAGTTTAACTCAATAAACCTGTTATCACATCGTAACTCGTGCACACCTGCAATCCAATGATACCACTTTCATTTATGGGCTTTATTTGTGTTCTTTTTGGTAAAAACACAAAAATCAAATAAAGGTTTGCAAAACGCTAAAGTCTAAATCTAAACTTTACTAGAACAAAATTCTAAATAGTTGAACTAAAAGGGAAAAAATGCATTTAATGACATTACACCTGTTGTGCCAGACTTTTAGACTAAAATCAACACATGATGAGAAACGATGGAGCTGTTTATATCAGAGCATGTGTTGGTAAGGACTCTCAGTTACTACCACATCAAATTTTAGCTCAATATCTGCAAAATGGACTGAATTAGAGKTATTTTTGTTGGCTAATGTGGATGAGCTGTTGCAGTTACCGGTAGCTTACATTGGACTGACTCCAAAAGTAGGGGTGTAAGAAAATATCGATACACTGAAATAACGCGATATTTCATTTCCCGATACTGTATCGATATTCTAAAGCCCTGTATCGATTTTTTATTAAGGTTTAAAATGTCAACTTTCCTGCCAGCTGTTCATTTTTATGTTGTAGTTCAGCCTCTGARCACTAGTTGGCAGCAGTGAGCCAGCCATTTGGCTCCTCTACCTCCAGAGGTAGAGGCTATTGTTAAGTGTTGGGTGAACATATTGTAAATTAATATTAAAAACTAAAATCTGCAAAAAATACATTTTCAAACAATTTATTGGCAAAATTTAGTCTAATATTTGAAAACATGGATGAAATAAGAAATATGAAACAAATAAAATAAAATACATACAAAGCAGGACACAGCTAAATGTATCAAAAGTATGTCTATGTAATATTAGAATTTTCTGAGACAATGAATTTTGGTTTTTTCATTTTTTTTCCAGTAAGAGGTTTTTATTTAATAGAATTTTTGGACTAAAAATATCGCAATATATCGCAATACTTATATATTGCCTTGTTTACAGTATCGCAATATATCAGGATATACCGTATCGTGACCCCTCTGTCATGATATGTATCGTATCGCCAAATTCTTGCCAATACACAGCCCTATCCAAAAGTGAATTAGTTGTAGACAGATATTTAGTGATTATTACCTGAAAGTTTAATTAAAACATCTTCAGCAGTTTGTCAGATATTTTGCTAACAGACTCACAAACACACGGGCAGAAAAGATAATCATCTGGCKTCTTCAGTCCTGACCTGGACGTCCAGCAGAAATCGGGCTGAACCAGATTAAAAGGTCGTTCTGGGATAATCCTCCGACCCATTACACCTACCCCGCTGAGTTACCTGCCCTAAAGTTCCTGAGGACATGTTCCTCAGAGGATRGTCCTGTYCACAGACGAAACTTTCAARTGATTTTTACGCAAATTTTGTATTACCTGCCCACAGGAAGTAAACCCCTGGTCAATTCAAGARGGCCGCCACAGCTAATAGACGTTATGGGGAAAACAAAAATGGGTCGACTTTATTGAGACAACTAAAATTAGGCGTGGTAGTAGCAGAGACTGATCCCCGATAATTACTGAGGGCTCATTTATTGTGCGAGATCTGTTTAGAACATGTTTGTTAGCAAAATCTCTCATAAACCAATGGTCAGATTTTAATGAAACTTGGATAAAGCAATCACCAATTAGGCCTCTATAACTAATTAATTTAGAGTTAAACAGAGTAAAGATGGCCACCACAACTAATGGACATTAGAGGAAAAACAAAACATTGGCAACAACTTGAGTCGACTTTGCAGAAGCGGAAATAAAAATTACGATGAGCGTTAACCCAATCAAGATCTGCTTAGAACGTGTCTGTTAGCAAAATATCCCATTAACCAAGAATATAGTTCAATTAAACCTGACTGAAGCACTGAATGATCTTCTAAAACTGATTCTATGGAGTTAATTAGATTCAAGATGGCCGCCGCAGCTAATTAGCGAACACAAAAAATGGCTACAACTCAGTCAACAGATATTGAGCTAATATTCATGGCTTAGAGTTTTGCTGTCTGTAAAAAAACACAAATTAAACAAATGTCACGTTCAGGATGTGAGATTCATTTTGAATAAATATTCAAGATGGCCGCCACAGCTAATTAGCAAACACAAAAAAAATGGCTACATCTCTGTTAGTTCTAGAGATTGGGCTAATATTTGGCATTATAGCTTGAGAGTTTTTGCTGTCTGTCTGACAATAAAACAACTGAGATTAAACAGATTTAATTGAAACTTTCATAAAAGATTCATTTTGGAGGAGACATATTCAAGATGGCCGCCACAACCAACAGCTAAATAGCAAACAGGGGGGGAAAAAGTTGCCCCCCAGATACTGAACTAATATTTGTAGATTGGATCATTTTTACCGGGAGTTTCTTCTATTTAAAATGGTCTAAAATTTGTCCTGGTAGTAGCCGACAGTCGTTCGACACAGACGCTCCAAGCGCCAACACGAAGTCTCGCGAGACATCCCATCATCACAGTYTTTTTCAGGCTTAGAACCTTCCGAACAGTTCTGAAACCGAACGAGCTTCAGCCGCCCAATCCAACAGGTGGACACGGTAACTGGGTTCCGAACCGTCGCCCGGTTCTGGTCGTGAAACACTTCTCCAAACCAAGGAGTAGCTACTTACATCGAGAGAGCTCCATGTGTCCCTCCGCCCCGGCGGTGCCGCTCTGATCCTCCGCCGCTCTCAGCCGCTCCTAATGTGGTCAGGCTCGCAGCTGGGGGGCGGCTCTGACCGGGTATAAATAGACGGACCCAAAGCTCCAGGGAACGGACAGGGGTTCGGCTTCCGTTTGGACGGGRTTTACACGAACATCCCGACTCAAAAACTCACCTGAAGTCGGCTCTTCTTAAAACGATCAAACGAGCAGGAGAACCGTTATTTAAAAACTTAGTGGTCACGTGATCTGACCGGAAGGGAGGCGTTCTCCAGGTGTTTTGTTATAATAAAACATATGACAGTTTTATCAGGATGAAATACGAATATTCTTTTAAGACACTAGTTGTTCCTGCAGCTAAAGACCACATAACATGATGCTACCCCCTCCGTACTTCACAATTCTTTTCTTTAAGCCTGCAAACTTCCACTTTTCATCCAAATTTAACATAAAAACCTAATGCAAAAATTGCATTTACTAAAGATGTCAATTTTAATTAGAGGGGAATAGACTGAAATAAGTATTTTAACTGAAAACGACAGCTTTGTGTGTTTTTTTCATAATTTAAATGGATTACTACACTTATAGAAAAAATGAGGGTGAAGGTCCACAACTAATTAACTAATTAAGACCCAACAGCGCCCTCTTCCTGCCTACATTGGATCTGCAAATAATCCACACAGCAACAGGTTCAAAGAGTTTATAGAAAAGCTTCTTGAACGAACAGAGCAACTCGTGTAGAAAAATAAATACAGTACATTCTGTATCAGAACACCATAAATATTTAAACAAACAAAAATAAAACATCTGATAAACAAAAACAAGTGTTGCTTTCCATCAAAAACAAGAACAAAAAAGTAACTCATCAAAGTAAAGGAGCATTCAAACAGGATTTCTTTTTTTTGCAACAAACAAACAAACTACATTCAGTAAAAACAACAACTTTCACATTTATCTGAAACTCAACAAACCGTCCCTAAAGTCACATCAAAGTTTCCAAATTAAAATAAGAACAATAAATGTATGAGTTTTGGACATGTATCAAAAATAAACCTTTGAGTTTCCTCTCCTCTGACCTCCATTTTCATGATGTTTCTGATTTTTTTCTTTTATAAAAAGAAAAGATTTTTCAAGTTTTCAGTGGATTTTAGGATTGGACTGAATCTCAGCTGAACTTTACCTCCTTCGGCTCCTTGAGTGGAACAGAACTCTTCAGTTCTTCACAAAGTAAGGATGAGTCAGAGCTTTGGCCGCGGAGATGCGAGCGCTCGGGCTGAACACCAAACACCCCTGAAGGTGAGACATGGGCAAAAACATTACTGTCCGGCTTTGTCAGCTGGAGGTCAGGATTCTGGTTTAAAACTTTTGCACGGCTCCGCAGCTTACAGACAGCAGGTCGGCCTCGTCCGGGTCCAGGTTAGGGAGCAGCTGGGCGCAGGATCCTCTTGGTCCCCAGCTCTCTGAGTACGAGATGGGGCTGTCCTGAGGCCAGTCCTCCTCGCTGGGCAAACCGATCACCCTAAAGATAAAATAATAATAATTAATTAATGAGAAAAAAAGGGGGAAGACAGGAGGAAGCAAAATGTGATGTAAAAACTAAAGGAAGCAATGAGCAAGCTAAAGTAGCAAAAATTTCTGAAAGAAGCGAAAATGGCTAACTGAAAAGTAGCAGCAGTTTAAAGTAGCAAAAGACTAGATAGAAGCTAAAAGCAGAACCGTGCTTAAAAGCAGTCAAAGGCTAACTTAAAGCTAAAAGTAGCAAACGGCTAACTAAAAGCTTAAAGTACCAGAACAGTGCCTAAATGTAGTCAAAGGCTAACTAGATGCTAAAAGTAGCAAAAGGCTAGATAAAAGCTAAAAGTAGCAGAACAGTGCTTAACAGCAGTCAAAAGCTAACTAGAAGCTAAAAGTAGCACAATGGTGCCTAAATAAAACAACAGGCTAACTAAACGATAAAAGTAGCAAAAATAGAAGATAGATGCTAAAAGTAGCAATACAGTGCTTAAAAGTAGGGCTGCCACGATTAATCGATTAATCGATGACTAATCGATTATTAAAATAATCAATGACTAATTTAATAATCGATTAATCGTTTTCTTTTTTTGTTGTTGTTCTTTACTTTGTTTTTCTCTCCAAACTGCTTTGACACCTTCCACTGCCACGTCTGCCTTTCTGTCCTTGACACACATGCACAGTAGTGGTAACTGGGGTAGGCCGTGGACGTTACAAGACTTTATACAGACAGGCTCTGGTATCATGGCTACCTGACAACAGAGCTCAAAGTGTGGGATCATTTTAAGAAAATGAAAGAGAAACCTGTGTAATATCTGCAGAGCAGAACTTGCCTTCCACAGCAATTATTTTTAGTTAGCATATAGCTAAAATCTAACGATGTTTATACAATAGCAGCTGCATTCTGGCGTGATAAGCTCTATGTTTTATATTCAATTATCGTATGATCTGATTAGTCGACTAATCGAATAAATAATCGGTGATTAATCGATTATTAAAATAATCGTTTGTGGCAGCCCTACTTAAAAATAGTCAAAAGTTAATTTAAAGATTAAAACGGTAGCAAAATGGTGCTTAAATGTGGCCATACTAATAGTAGCAAAACAGTAGGTAAAATTTTAAACAAGGTTTGTCAAAAGCTAAAATTAGCTAAAGGCTAGGTAGAACCAAAAATTAGCAAAATGCTAGCTAGAAGCTGAAAGTATCATAACAATGGCTAAAAGACGCTAAATGCTAACTAACAGCTATAAATAAGACAAAAAAGGAGTCCGTTGGCAGGTTTTTTTAAGAGATCAATGTTTTGGAAGGAAGTGAGGTAAAAATGTGTTTAATGGAGAAAATATTTGTAAATAAGTTTAACTTTTCATAAAAGTGTAAAAGTTACAGAACATCAAAGATCAGAGCTCTCCTCTCCGGAATAAGCTGAACGATTTGATGCATGAATGACTAAAATAACACAAAGTATACAGATGCTGACTCAGCACTCGGGAGTTACTTACTCAAAGATTTTTTGCAGCTGCTGCACTTCAGTGCACCCCTTAAACAACGGTCTGCAGAGCACAAGCAAAATATGCTTAATCTCCAGTTTTACAGAATCACAAAAACCCTAAAATCAAGACGAAACTTCAGACTCAGATGTTTTCTGACTCGCCGACCTCAAGAGGAAAAGCTCCGCAAAGATGCAGCCGGCGCTCCACATGTCCACAGAGAACATGTAAACGGAGTTTAGCAGAACTTCAGGCGCTCGATACCACAGAGTCACCACCTGACGAGAAGCAGGGGAACACGAGGCAACACGCTCGGTTAAAAAAGGATGTTTTACACCTGAAGGCGAGCTCCGCAGTGACACTTACGCCTGGTGTCAGAGAGATGTTGAAGCTGTGGAGACGAGCCAGTCCAAAGTCTGCGATCTTCACRTCTCCACAGCTGCTGACCAGGATGTTCTCCGGCTTCAAGTCACGGTGCAGCACCAGGTTCGTGTGTAAGAAGTCCAGTCCGCGCAGCAGCTGACGCATCACATCCTGACAGCGACACCGCAGCAGATATTACGTCGACTCAAGAGCTGCTGTGTTTTAAAAATTTTTTTTAATCTCATATTCCCACCTTTATGACAGGACGGCTCAGACCACAGGCTGGAACCTTAGAGATGTAGGTGGACAGGTCCTGGTCAATGTACTCCAGCACCAGCGTGAGGTCCAGGGTGGAGTTCACCGACACAACGGACACATCTAAAAGTCTGCAGAACAAAAAGTTTGTAGAAAAGCTGATCAAAACGCAGATTTTTTTTAAACAATTTCTCTTTCATTTGCATTAGCAAAGCTAAAAAAAGGTAAACTTGTGTTTGATGACAACAAATAGATTTTTTAAATGTAAATCAGAAAATATACTTTATTAATCTCTGGGGGGAACTAACAGCTACCCAAAAGGATGCTTATGTTTGCGCATGCGCACTAACGAGAAAGTCAAAGCGTGACAGGTTAAATATAATAGCTAATAATTTGTACTGCTAAATGGAAAAAAATCAATAGCGAACCTACTTCACCACGTTCGGGTGGTTGAAGAAGGCCATTTTGCGAAGCAGAGCCGCCTCCCGGATCATGAAGGGGGGAATCCCGGTCTCCGTCGAGGCCCAGCGGCAGTTGAGCTTCTTCACCCCCAGGAGACGCTGCGTCCCCCCGACCTCTCGGGCTTTGTACACCTTACCGAAGGAGCCCTCTCCCACCTCCGCCAGGAGCTCGTAGCTCAACGGGTTAACCGASTCGTTCATCCTACTCCAAAATCAGTCTAAACTGACCTAAATTAAACAGATTAAAATAATAAACTTTTGGGATAAAAAAAAAACTTTAATGTGTAGCGCTAGCTTCGCTTGGTGTTAGCATCGCTAGCTAACGATGCTAACACACTACAGGCGATAATTAGCAGGTGAATAAACAACCTGTCACTAAAAAATAAACAAAACAAACATCACCTGCAATAACAGTTTTCACGTACGTAAACTCTGAACTTGAATTGTTGGTTTTTTTAATCACATTTTGGTTTCTTTTTAACTTTACCTCAGACTGCTTGGAGCTCAATCTGCACCGTCCGCCAGCGGCAGAAACTTGTCTTTGCATACTTGAAAAAAAAAAAAAAGAAAAAAAATCACACCCACTTGAATCGGCCAGCTAATCAGAAAGCTTCAAATCTTCTTTTGCTGACAGTTTTCTTCCACCACGTGCTCCTGCTGCTGTCTGTGTAAAGGTGTGTGTTGTTTGATTTTTGATAAACAAACATGGTGACACCAGTTGGATCTTCATGAWTTTTTATTTGCCTACTCAAACCTTTTTGCTTCCTCTTTCTTGTGCCACTTTAGGTTCCGGTTTGCCAGATTGCAGTACTGAAACCTGGTGGCTGCATGTTTACCTRTGATCATTACAGTGTGGTGCGTTCAAGTGCAGTCGGGAATTATTTAATGTGTTTAAACTAGCAAAACAAATAAACAAAGGGAAGGGTTCTTCATAGTACGCTTGTGTTTATTTGTCACCTCAAAACAAACCAAGAAACAAGTAATAATAAGTACAGATCAAAATATCAACAATGACAAACAGGAAGTTATAAAAATATTGTTTGCAATTTTGATCAGTTTAAAAAAATTGCTTTAGTCACAGAGTAAAGCACAAAATATTGCATAAGGTTCACAAAAACAACAATGAATAAAGCTGGTAAACATTTTTAGGTGCCATTAGTTAGAAAAGTGCTTTAGTAATCAAACACAAACACATCTTAGGGCAGTAAATACATTGTTGTAATACAATTTGTTGAAATACAGATCTTTCCTGCCCACAGCCATCACCATCTACAATAACCCTTTAGTTAAATGAGTTACAACATCTAATCTCCCTTTGGGACCAATAAAGTATTTTTGAATTGAGCTGAATTAATATGTAAAGTATGAGTACAGTAAATTCTCCCTTTTTTCAGTGTTAATTCATTGATCTCAAGCTGTTGTGTTAAAGTGATTAATTGGAGCGTAAATATCAGCAGCTACTCCTTTTTCTGCTTGTTAAAATGTTTTGCTCTTTTGGCCAAGGCGATGGCGTCCAGATGGAGGTTGCGGTTAAGAATGACCGAGCCACAGGTGAGCGCTCCGGCCAGGGCGCCGGCGAAACCACACAGAAACATATCCTGACCTGGGAAACACACACAAACACATACGCACACAACCCATCAGAAAGATGAACGGACGGCGTAACACCATAATATGACCATTAACAGTGGTGGGCTCAGCTAACTAAAACGTTAGCGCCACTGACCGCTAATCCACTAAAGAATCTTAGCTCTGCTAATGGTAATCTGCTAAACAGCCAAAACTTTAGTGGGAGCTAATGCTAACTGCTAAGACGACAAAAAACAAACAAACAAAAAAGAGCAAAAAAATAAAAACATACCCATTATTAATTTTTATTGGTTAAATTTGAAGAAGGGTGGGATCATCTACGACAAATCAGCCAATCCAAACCAGAGTTATAACTCTGTCTAAGTTGTGATACTTCCAGTTTACCCCTTTCAGAATAAAAGCATTTTTTTTGTTCCAGTTTGTTTTTCTATAAATACAAGTCAGTCAAACTACATCATACCTTCCCTGCCACATTTTATTTGTAGTCAATTTATGTATTCATTATTTAAATATTACTAAACGTTTTATTTTTTAACGCTCTCAGTTAGATATTTAGCCGCTAAAGATGCTACATGCTACAACACACATCTGACACATCCAGCACTACTTGTAAGGTGGGACAGTTTTTATTTATTTCAAGATAAACAACATAAAATAGAAGTTTTACACTGGTGAATTTTAGTGGGCTTAAATTAGCAGAAGCTAATCGGTCTGCTAACAATTTCCAAAGCTAGCAAAAAAAGCTAATACGCTAAATGAGATGCTAGTTAGCATATTAGCTGAACTGTGCCCACCAATGTTTGATAAAATGTCTAAAAATGTAAGTTGAGGCAGAGGACACACCTGTCAGGTAGAGGTTCTTCAGAGGGGTCTGAGGTCTTATCGTAGCGTTGAGTTCAGGCCTGAACCGACCGATGTCATGATCCACACCGTAGATCTCACCTTTCGGGGCTGCGATATAGTGCGTGTTTGTGACGGGGGTTCCAGCATCAATGTACTCAATCTAAAAAAAATAAACATAAATTACACAAAGAAAGTGGAAAAACTGGGAAAATATGCAGACTTTAAAAGCATCCAAWGCCTCTACCTTGTCTCTGGTGATCTTAGGAAACACGTCCATCACCACCTCCAGGGCCGAGTCGATAAACATTTGTTTCAGCTCTTTGTAGTCGGGCCCGCGGTTCGTCACTTTGTCGTCCTTCCARTCCTCAAACCACTCGTATTTAGCAAAACTGACCAGACTCAAAGTTGACTTTCCTAAAACGACAGTCAAAACAAAATGAATGAAACAATCTGAGTTGAAAGGACTCCAGATCGAAGTGTTTTTGTTTTTGCCTTGTCTTACCCGGTGATCTCTCCTCCCAGGTTGGATCTTTAGCTGATGGACAGGCGACAAACAGCAGAGGGATCTTCTGAGCAGCCTGTTCTCTCGCTTTACTATTATAGTCCTCCAGCCTTTAATGGAAACATAAAACATGTGTATTAACACAATTATGCATTGGTGGGATTAGCAGAACTAGCTTCTCATTTAGCAGATTAGCTTTATCGCTAACTTTGGAAAATGTTCCGCTAATTCTACTTTTATGCCATTTATCCAGAATTACATAAAAGCTGTCCCATAATACAAGCAGTGCTGGACATGTTTGTGTAGCATGTAGCATTTTTAGCAGCTAACATATTATCAAACAGTGGTGGGCACAGTTCAGCTAATATGCTAACTAGCATCTCATTTAGCYGATTAGCTTTTGTGCTAACTTTGGAAACCCTTAGCGGACCGATTATCTTCTGTTAATTTAAGTCCACTAAAATTCATAAGTGTAAAACTTCTTTTTTTATGTAGTTTATCTTGAAATAAATAAAACTATCCTGTCTTACAAACAGTGCTGGATGTGTCAGAGATCGTGTCTGTGTAGCACGTAGCATTTTTAGCAGCTAAACTTCAAACTAAGAGCATAAATTTTTTTTTAACAATATTTACATAATGAATATAAAAACTGACCACATATTAAATAAGGTGGAAAAAGTGTTGTTGTTTTTTTCGTTTCACTAACTTCAAACTCAAAGAAATGCTTTTATTGTGAAAGGTATAAATTAGAAGTAGACAGAGCTATAACTCTGGTTTGCATTGGCTGATMTGCCTCAGARGATCCCACCCACCTTCAAATTAAACCAATAGAAAACTAACAACAGGTCTTAGCTATTAGCATTAGCCTCCGCTAATTTTTTCCATCTGTTTAGCGAATTATCATTAGCAGAGCTAAGATTCTTGTTTAGCAGATTAGTGGCCAGTGAAGTTAACACATCAAAGTCTTAGCATTTGTAAAGAAACATACAGTTTGTCCAAATTGTTCTCAGCAAAGATCCAGTAGTTGTCCGCTTTCAGGCCCAGCTCCTCCTTGGTTCCGTTCAGACCCATAAAGATGCTCAAGCCGCCATCACCGTGTTTCACCATGCTGAGCTGCTCCTGGATGGCTGCAAGGCAGGAGAGTTTCAGAAACAGAGGCAGTTTAAAAAAAAKAAKAAAAACAAGAAGAGTGGGTGGTGACTCCCAGCTGACTGAGTTTTAGCCGTTTTTGTCTGACCTGGCAGGGCTTGGAGCTCTGCGGGCAGCAGCTTCTCGTACGTGTTGAAGATGCCGGCATCGGAAACGATCATGGGGGCGCGGATGTGCACTTCCTCCTGACCCTTCAACACACTAACACCTGAAATCATCAGAAACGAACGCTGTGGTTAAAGCACTGCGTGACGAGACCTCCAGTGAATGAGTAAAAAAAAATAAAAATAAAAATCACCGTAAGCTTCTTTGGCATCATTGAACAGGATCCGGTTCACCGGGGCTCGGACCAAAACAGCGCCTCCCGCCTTCTCCACAATGGGGATCATGTGGTATGCGATTTCACTGGAGCCGCCTTTAGGGTACCAGGCGCCGTCCAGGTAGTGAGTCACCAGCAGACTGTGCATGGCAAAGCTGGCCTCTTTAGGAGTCTTTCCTGCAGATTCAAAACGAGAAATAAGAGTTCAAAGCTGATAAATCTGATTCCAGTGACAAAAAATAAATACATTTTTTTAAAAAGGAGCTGCAGCCCGGCGTACCGTAAGTGCCAACAATGTAGGAGAATACGGCTCTGAGGTCCTGGTTCTGTGTCAGCTCGTTGACCACGTCTGTCAGGCTGCGGGGTGCCATTTTGAAGAAGAAAGACAGACGTTCGACGAGGCCGGTGCAGATCAGGAACTTGGTCAGAAAGACTGGAAGGAGCTTCAGCATAGCCATGAGCCAAACTCCGTTTTTAGTTTTCTGAAGACAAAAACACAAAGATCAGTTTAAAGTGTCCGTGACACTTTTTCTTCAGTGACAGAAAATTAAAGAAAATATCCCACTAGTTTAGAAATTTGGAATCATTCATACAATTTTTACCCAGTTTGTCACAAAACGTGCATATTTTTTACTAAATTTGGTGCAGTCCAAGAGAAACAGGAAGTGATGTCAAAGGGGAACTCTTTAAAAAAAAGAGTAACTTCCTGGTCTTTACAAATATGACTCTTCTTTATCTTTGTGATAATGACTCAAAATCTACAGAAACATCTGATTCTTTGCAGTCTGTTGTTAGCCGTTGTAGCAACTCATTCAGATTTTCCCCTTTGACATCACTTCCTGTTTCTGCTCATGCAAATTTCTCAACTGCTCATTTCAGTGTCGTGAATTTTTGTTCGCAGTTCATCATTAATGTTTTCTTTCCAAATATGTACTCAAATATATCACTTAAATTTAAAGTCACGGGCACTTTAAAGCACAGATCCGACCTTTCTTTCCTTCACGAATCACTTGTTTTGGTTTCAAACTATCGTGTTTCGGGAACGTTACTGCAGAGTTACAAGCTGTTTGGAGAGATTATTTAACCGTCTGTCGGAGTAAAACAGATAAAAGTTGTGCAACGCTGCAGGTGAGTGTCCTCAGAAGTCACTCCGGCCTTTGGTTTGGATGAGATAAAGTGAAATCTGAATAATGAAATTTGATCAAAGTGCAGCTCTTAAACACAAGGGTTAGTGGAGGAAAGGTCACCTGCACCTCGGGGTAACGGGAGTTACAGGACCTTACCTTGGCCAGCCGCAGGTACTCGTCGATGGCTTTCTCCTCTCCGGGGAAACACTTCTTCAGCTCTTCGGGGAAGCGAGTCTTGCCGCTGTAGATGGGGTACCTGCGGCGGTTTTCTGGAGGTCCCAGCAGGACGTGGTCAAACGGGTTCTCCAGAGGCTCCCACTGCAGCTGCCCATTGGTCATCTGGTCCAACATGCAGCGGAAGGGTTTGTGCTCCAGGAGGTCACCGATGTAATGGATCCCTGCGGTTCAGGAGCAACGGTCAGTCCAGAGCGAGGCGTTCGTGTTCGAGGGGAGGGGGAAAATGTCGACTCACCCACATCAAACTCGAAGCCCTTCTCGGAGAACGTGTGGCAGCACCCTCCGGCCTTGCTGTGCTGCTCCAGAACCAGAACTTTCTTTCCGACTTTAGCCAGCAGCACGGCCAGCCCGAGCCCACCGACGCCGCTGCCAATGACGATGGCYTCCAAGTTTTCTGGTACTCTGCTGGCCAGGAAACCTACAAGGAGTCAGGTAAAAAGTGTACAAAAATAAATTAGACCTGTGTTCATTTGAAGCTTTAAATTTCAGCTTTGAAGATGTAAAAATAATCTGTTTCTTGATTTCTAAAACATATTTGAGTTTTAAATGTGGCCATTTTGTTTAATTCCTGAAGATATTAAAACAAATTAGATTTTAATACCCCACTAAATGAGCATACAGTCCAAGAAATGAGATATTAAGTTATATAACTGACTAAATAAACAAAGATGAATAATGTTTACTTGTGAAACAGCTGAACTAAATGCCTCGTTGCAAACATTTATTACCTAATATATAAAATGTCAAATTTAGCTCCTGTTTAAATTAAACTAATAATATTTTGTACACAGCTAACACGATACTGAAGTGAATTTATTTTATTGCACAGCGCAGTCAGGCTCCAAACTTTACGCCTTGATCCATAAACTCACCTTGCTTTAGCACTTTATTCTTCTCTTTCTTGTCGTAAACTCTCTTTTTCAGCGGTTCACGACAGTCCTTCTCAAAGGGGTTCGGTCCGTAGCTGCCGAAGACATATTTTAACATAAAAATAATCAGAACCGCAGAAATAATGGACACAAGGACCCACATTTTGTCCGTTTTTCGACCCTGCGTCCAAATGACAGGTTTCTTTTCTGACTACTGTGGATCATTTCCTAGTTTCACTAAGAACCGCCCACATGATGTCACGGTTCACAGAAGCCAATCAGAACTTAGAATGGYTTACGCGTCGATAGTTTTTGACCAATCAACGACAAGCTAAAAAGGGGCGTGACTGGGAGTTGATGCTACATAAACAGGCCTAACAAGCTAACAAACAAACGATTAAAAACAATAAGTTAACACTTACAAATAACTTCAAATGTTCCTTAAGAGTTTTACAAGGTACGAGGCATGTACATTTTTTAATTTGGCCGGTTAAAAACATTAGTTAATATAAATTCTAGTTCTTTTAGCAAACCTTTAGCTAAACTTTTAGCTAACCTACTTTTAGCAATCATTTTTGCTTTAACCCTTACTAATTTATACATGGCTTTTGCTCCTTTTTGTTACACATTTGCAATTAACGTCTACTTAACTTCAACTACTATTAGCTAGCCTTTTATTTTTAACTCGTTAAACATCTTTGCATTTAGCTAGCTTATTTCTTTCAAGATTTACAGACATCTCAGCACCGATCATTCACTCTTGAATAAAAAAGTAGTTGCAAGAATTGTTTTTTCTTATTTGCAAGGGTTTCACCTATAATAAAAATTTCCACTTTAAACTTATTAAAATGCAATAAKCTCACAGCAACTCCTAGGTTTTATTTTATTTTGCTTAAAAAGTAAAGAAGGAAAAAAAAGCCCTGCATTTTCACAATCATTTCCTGCATCATCACACCACGGGATTTTCTTTTCTTTTAAACATTCTTATGCAAACAAATATTTTACAGAAACACTTTTAACAGGGGTGTATTTCCCAGTCGTCACAGGTCCGGACTGATTTCATGCACCCTGTGCAGAACCGTAAAACCTCACCTGCTTTCAGCCGCTGCATAGTCTGCCAGAACGCAAGATGAGCTGAAATAACCAGTATTCAGATTAAAGCATGTTTATCAAATCAGCTCAGTATCTACAGCAAAGAGCTCGGCATGGTGCTGGATGTACATGCAAACTCTAATTTGTTTTAGATTTATTTATTTATTTTATTAAATAAACTGAATTCATTCTCAGATCCCCCCACACACACAGGTGTATTCATGTGTTAAGCTACAAAAAAGGCTTTTAAAAGTGCCCTGAAGTACTTTGGATTTCTAATTTCGCCCCTGAAACCTCTCAGAGACTTTAGAAACGCGTTGAGAGTCCTGGGATCACGATGATGGATGCTATAAATGGGGCACACTGAAATCAAYCTTTCTGATGAACAAACCTGTTTTTCTCTGCAGCAGTGATGAACGAGAAGAGATTTTTTTCTTTTTAGGACAGAAAGCTGGGGAAGAATGGTTCTGAAAGTTAAGATAAACAAGGAGCTCAAGATGGAAGCAAACAGAAGATGAGCAAAAAAAAAGCCAACATGACAACTCTTAACAGAAGCCCTTATCTTAATCCACATTTGGTATTTATTACATTAGCCTTTTGAGCCTATTTCCTCTTTAAAATATTTTTTTGCTCAGATTTTTTGTCTAAAATTTAAGAAGAAGCACTTCCAACATTTAGGAATAAAAGAAAACAGTAGGTTCTAGTCTGCGAGTGTTGGGGCGTTCTCCGCAGTTACTTCTGATGGTATTTACAGGTTTCTGGAGGTTTGCCAGCAGTGTTACAGCGGCTGAACTGTTCCGGTGATTTTTGGTACAGTGGTGAAGTTAGCGACGGTCACTACGATGGCTTTAAGGTCCGTGTGATGGACAGGGAGAGGCGGGGGGGGAGCCGAGCGCTCCCTCAGCCCCCCACAGCCTGGCAGCAGTAGTGCAGGTCAGAGTTCAGAGGGGCCAGAAAAGTAAAAATGTGCGGCGGGTTTCCTTTCCACAAGCAGGAAGTCTTCGGACCGTGGCGTGGTCTTCAGGCCTGTTGGTGACGCTCGATTACGACACGACGGGACGTCACTGCAGAACCAACCCAACCTGAGGGAGAAGCAGAAACTCGTCAGGAACATTTATGATGTCTGATCTGAGGACAAAACTCATTTTTTATAACTGAGTTACTTCTTCAGACTTTGTGCTTTTAGACATTTAAAGATCAAAGGGTTGAGCTCAGTCAGGTGAGCTTTGATTTTTGTAATTTTCAAGAAATTTTCTTTAATATTGACGTCATAGATGTACACTGAGATATTTTCTTTTAAAATAAAATCTGTTCAGTCTACATGCTCTGGAATTAGCTTCTTATGCTATTTCTGCTCCTTTTAGCAAAGATTCTGCTTCTTTTAGCTTAAACTTAAGTTTCACTATGTTTAGCTACTGTCCTGCTTCATTTAGCTCATGTTCCGTTTTTCCTTTTAGCTAACGCTGAGGTCTTACATAATTTAACTAGTGTTCTTCAGTTAACTACTATTCTGCTTTTATAGCTAGTGTTTGGTTTCTTCTTTGAGCTAATGTATCATTTATTTACCTAGTGTTGTAATTCATTTAGCCTATTTTCTGCTTTTTTAGTTAGTATTCTTCTTTTAGCTAATGTTTTTCTTCTTTTTGCTTTTGTTTTACTTCATTTGGCTAGCGTTATGCTTCTTTTATCTTTTAGCTAAGGTTTGACCTCTTAGTTTTCTGCTTCATTTCGCTCGAGTTGTTTCTACTTTTAGTTTTTAGCTAAGGTTTCATTTCTTTTAGCTAGTGTTAGCTAGTGTTTAGGTTCTTTTAGTGAAGGTTTCACTTAATTTAACTTGTGTCCTACTTCATTCAGCTTGTTTTCAGCTTTTTTATTTTGGCTAGTGTTATGCTTCTTTTAGCTAAAGTTTCACTTCATTTAGGTACTGTTCTGCTTCTTTTATCACGCGTTTCTTCTTTTGGCTAGTGTTCTACACTTAGTTTTCTGCCGTTTTTTTAAGCTAGTATTCTGCTTCCTTCTTTAGCTTTTAGCTAAGGTTTCACTTCTTTCAGCAAGTTTTTCCCTTTTCTAGCTTTTAATGTTCTGCTTCTAGTTCTAGTTTTAACAGCTGAGTTTTAGCTTCTTTAGCTGTTAGCTGTAGTGTTCATGCAGAAAATGCAGTTTTGCAATATCTAAATTAGCAAAATGTGACATTTTTCTTGTCTATTTTCAACAAAAACATTTTTCTCAACTCCTGATACTGAAAATGCTAAAGTTTGTGAAACAAACTCAATATTTTTTTTATAAAGTTGTATGTTTAATGGAAAAAAAAACAATSGGGAGCACTTTGTCACTATAATGCAGGGGTGCCCAAACATTTTCCCCGAGGGGGCCAAAATGAAAATATATCCATGGCTGTGGGCCAAATGCAGTTATATAATACATGAAATACAAATACTTTTTAAAAGTAAAGTCCTTTATTTTTAACCATTAAGCTATGCAATGGCCCTCTTTTGTTTTTGTCTGTGCACTTGGAGAAAGTCTGCCATACGCTCAAGTAGCAAAGGCTCATGGGACTTATCATAAATTGATAAAACATGAGTTTGTGTGGCCTTATAAAGTGTGCAAATCTACATGTGGGGTTAAATCTGACCTAAATATTTCTTGTTGTCATTTCATGTTTCTTGTTTAATCCTAATAAATCAAAGATAAAGTCAGCACCATAAATGAAAACCTTCACTACAGCCCTTTTATATAGTCATTTGACCAATGGAAATGTTGTGTTTCTACCTATAGYATAACAGGTTACAACCTTGTAACTTTGGCAACTGTCGGTGGGCCAAATCAAATGGCTTGGTGGGCCAAATTTGGCCCACGGGCCCCACTTTGGGCTCCTCTGCTATAGTGACTGTAGTGAACAGAACTACAGCAAAAAGAAAAACTGACCTTTTCTGCCCCCATGCTGGGACACTTCCAATTGTACAGATAATACTGCAGATTTCCATCACCGATGCCAAACTTCAGCTTCTCCAAGAAAGTCTTGTTTTCCATTAGATCCAGTGCATTAAAGACATCAAAACCTTTCTGTACAAACAAAACAAAAACAATAATCTCAGAACGAGGCAAACGGAGATGAAGTCTTTAAACAGGCTGGGCAACAAACCGATTTGGCCAGGATGAGGGCGTCAGACATCAGGTCGATCAGAGGGGTGGTGGTGTGCACGTTGTAGAAGGAGTACGCCGCCTTCAGGCTGCGGTGCACCGGGTGGTTCATTATAGTGGAGGGCAGGGTGTAGAAACTCAGGAAGTCTGTCACTTTGCCGTCATTCTGTCAGAAAACAGCGCAGCCGTCAGAAAGCAGACGGACCGAGCCGGTCCTCTGTGATCAGGACTTCTCTTTACCTCCACCAGGTAAGTGTCGATGATGTTCTCCTGGGGCAGGAACCAGTGTTCCACCTCGCGTTCGTTCATGGCAGGTACCAGGTTGAATTGGCTCAGGTACTCGCGGAGGAGGCGATGCACCACGGGAACGTCCTTCTTAGTCATCGGTCGCAGACCTGAAGTCTTTGGGGCCTGAAGGGGAGGAGGATCAGAGAAAAAGCTTTTTGCTTTCCAAATTTACCTTTAAATAAAAAGGTTTTCTAACATCTATGGAAAGATCCCTTTGTTTTGTAACTCCTGTAATTTTAATCTGAATTTGAACATTCTCTCTTCATGTAACGTCAGCCATCTTTGAGTCCCTTTTTATAAGAAAATATATGACTGGAACTCCTGATGATCATTTTAGACCAGTTGTTCTCAAAGTTAGGGTCCTGAAACATCAAGGTGTAGTTTTGAAAAGATTTATTAGAATTAATTAAATTTAAAAATGACTAACACAAATTTTTACTGCCTTATTTGTTACAGATGTTACTTAAAAATGGATGAAATGAGCATAATGAATGTTGTTTCTATGCATTTATTTATTTGACATGATATCAATATTTTATCAACCACAAACAGTTGGGGCTGCAGGTCTGTGCTGCTGTTATTTTGTAGGTCAAAAGCTTGGGAACCATTGTTCTAAACCATGTGTCAAACTCAAGGCCTGTGGGCCAAATGTGGCTCACGAGAGCTTCAACGAAATGTTAATATCTTTAAAATAAGCGTGTGCTGCTTCAAAGCCAGCACTGACCATAAACTAAATCTCCCTTAATGCATGCTGATTGATTTCCATGTGAAATGACTGCATCCCACCACTAGGTGGAGCTGAACAGAGGACAAAAGTAAGCGGTAGGCAGTAAAATTTGCTGTGGAAAATCTTCATTTAGCTGCATTTTCWCTGGCTATTTTTGCTGCGGCCCAGTTGTACTGGGAAGTGGGAACTTAGCAGTAGAAATGCAGTGTGGGAGAGCTCAGAATCCAAGGTGGCAGCTACTCACCACAACTCAGTGGCTAAAACTGTTTTTTTTTTTTTTTTTTTTACTTTTAATAGAATTTCTGTTCTATTTATTTCACATTTACTCAGTCGTACATGTAGTACTTTTTTAGTGTTTATGAGGACATGTTAAAACGCTGTTTGTATGCAGGAGATACCAGGTAGAGCTCAGTTAATGTTTGTTAGCAGTGCTCAGAAACGTGATGTTTTGTGTTTTTAGTTGAAGTTAAAACAAAACATCGAAGCTAATTTCYACTGGCCCTTCAAGGGCCACTAAAACATTCATGTGGCCCAGATTTTCTAGACCAATAAAAACATTTTGAACCTGGCACAACTGTAAACAAAACTAGCTCATTGTTGTTCTGGTGATAAATCACTGAATTTGAAAAGATCACTCTGAAGCTTCTAAAACAGATTTAAACGTATTAATAACAAAAAATAAATAATTTCCTCYTTGAGGCACCTTTCTTTGTGGGTTTTTTTTCACTGACCTCAGGTAAGCGGTACAGCTTCATGGTGCGCTGCATCGTCATGTTTCTGCTCAGATGGGAGAACTTCACCTCGATTAGCTTCCGTGGGTTCAGAGAGCGGTGCCAGTACCTGCGTGTGTCCAACACATCAGCGCGGCGCCGAGAAGCCAAACGAAAACTGAAAACTGCTCGACCCACCTGCACGTGCCCACGGGTTTGGGTAGAACCACTCCGGCAGTGTACACGGCCTGGAAGATACCCTGCAGGTTGACCCGTCTGGTGATCTCTCGGATCAGAACTGGAGCGACTCGTTTGGCGCGAAGCTTCTTGTGGACGCAGAGGAAATTGATCTCGACCATTTTCTTTTCTCTAAAGCAAAAAATATAATAATCATATCGAGTTGTAAACATTTTTATTATTATTATTATTGTATTTTTTTGTGTTTTTATGATGTAAATCACTTTGAACTGCCTTGTTGCTGAAATGTTCTATACAAATACGATCGATAGATTGATTGATTGATTGATAATTTGTAGTTAAATAACCAAAACAGCCAAAAATCTCAGTAAAACAGGTAAAAAAGCTAGAAGGTTGCAGAACTTAGCAGAAACACATATAATAGCTTACAACAGCTAACTTTAGCTAATAATGGCTGAAAATTAGCTAAAGTTGCAGCAAATAGCTGAAGGCACCTGTATGATGTGGTATTAGCACAAATTAGCACAAAAAAGGTAGAAAAAAGCAGAAGAATAATAGAAAGAAGCTGAATTTTAGATGAAATAGCAGGAAAAAAAGGCTAAAAATTAGAAAAAAAATAGTTGAAATTAGCACAAGGAAGTTAAAAACAGCAGAACCAGAACAAAATGTGTAAGGTGCTGTAAAGATTTAGAAACATTTTTAAAAGGATTTTAAGGATGTTGGAAACAGCTCCATTCATTTTCAATGGGGGAAAAAAGTGGCTAAAAAAGTGAAATAGCTTAAAAAGTATAAAAAACTGAAATATCAAAAGTCATAGCAGGACTGTCATATATGAGCTAAACGTTTTGATATATGAATTGTTGAAACGGCACAAAAAATTTGGATCGGGTTACGTGCTGAAAAACGTATGGAAGAAAAAATGATCAACGGTGTGAATGTTGTGAAGCGTTCACACAATTAAGACAGAAGCAGCAGATTTACAACCAGTTTGCACAAAACTACAAAATAAAAGCAGTGAACCCTGGTTCCTCACATGTCGTAGATGCGTATGTTGGCCGGGATGGCGCTGATGAACCCGACCAGCTTCTGGTTGGAGTTGACRCTGACTCCACAGTGCCACTGAGGCAGCCAGCCTGGAGGCCGCAGGGCCCTGAGGACGAGAAAAACTTCAAATTTAACCCAACGCTACGCAAACGTATCGAAACATAACAGAAAGAGTCAGAATTACCAAAGCAGGAAGTCAGGAGAGTAGTCAAATCTGAACATGTTGTCGTCGTCCTCCACGTAGTTCTCATTGAGCAGCGTGTACAGCTCCTTCAGCTGGTTTTAAAAAGAACACGTTCTGAATAATACTTTCTGTTCACAGGAACCCTGCAGGTGGGACTCGTTTTCTTACCACGGCGGGGTTCCCCAGGTCCAGGGTGTCCCAGCTGAAGCCCTGCGGGAGGCTGTAGGGCTCCTCTCGGATGTGGTCTTTGTCGGGTTCGATGGATCCGTGCGACGTTACGGTCTCCCCTGAAGGAAACACGTAAACATGAAGCACATATCTGACCCCCGACGGCGAGTCAAAGCCGTAACGTCTGTCACACCTAGCTTAGGAACAGGTTGTGTGTCCCAAAACTGATAACTCCTCCGACTCGCCTCCTCCATGGTTTTGGCTGGACCTTGGCCAACAGAAAACAGTTCAATGGCCTTTTGGATCTCCTGTAGCTTATCAGCTGGTAAAGAGTTCACCTGATTAGAAAGATTCAAATGTTGAGATCGAACTCAAGACTTTTACACAAGATTACATTTTGTCATTAAAAATAAAATATAACAATAAAATAACAATAACAATAACAATAATAATAACAATAACAATAGTAATAATAATAATAATAATAATAATAAGGGGGTTCATGCCTTGGCAAGAGGGTCCTGAGCTGCTTCTGTGGCACTGGATTTCTTCTTCTTTTTCTGCTTTTTCTTCTTCTTCTTGGCACCAGTGTCGTCACCCAGACCCCGGTCACTGGAAGGAAGACAGAAATTTTAACTTCTTGACTAATTACAAAATAAAGTGTTTCAATCACAACTGTAAGAACACAACCACACATGTGGGCTACAGGGTACCAAAACATTCAATCTACATAGATAGTTTGGACTATAAACAGCTTGTTTGAACGGTCAGTGCTGTACGTAACTCTAAACCGGTGCTTCCCAAACTTTTTAGTTATCRTTGCTTTCGCTAATCCAAAGTAGCAATGAAAAAAAGAACAAAAATCTTTGTTTGAACGACCAAAACACAAGGGGTGTAACAACACATCTTCAATACACACTATATATGGAACAATACAGATTTTTTAAAATTTTATCAGCTTGTCTTCTGAAGATGCTCRGTGTTGAAGGATCAGTGGATCTGTYTTCGACTACTCCACCTGGGCTGCATTGCCGAGCGCAGATCCACAACATTTAATTTAAAAACTGTACTTTTGAGGTTAAACAAATGATCATAATTAATTTCAATAAATTACAAGTGAAAAAGGGCATGGACATTACTCTTTTTGTATCGAAAAAAAGATCAAACCGTGAGATTTAAGTATTGAACAGAACCGAATCGTGAATTTTCTGTATCGRTGCAGCTCTACGAAACACAGCTAAAAATCTCAGTAAATAAAAGGCACAGTGACTACACAAACCACATCAACTCTTTTTTTGTACGCTAACAAGAATGACTTTTAAAGTTTTAACAACCCCYATGCAGCCTGTAGGCCAAACAGAAACAAACAGTTCTGAGAAATAGGCAGGGAAAAAATGCAGAAACACGTCATCAGTGCAGAAACAGCTGTAAAAAAAAAAACCCACACAAAACTCAAGTTATTAAAAATCAGTTSAAGAACTTCCTCACAACCTGTGTTTCATTAATGTCAGTTTTTGATGAGTTCAAACTTTAGAAGCCCCTTATCTGTCCCATACTAAGAGGATAATCCCATTAAGGGTCCAAGAAGCGGCCTGTATTTGTAAACCCCTGTGCAGATGGCGGATCACATGACACCACTATGTGGCTGACCCGTGCACACACATGTATGTGCAAGAGGTCAGTCAGCAACAGGGACAATGGACAACACATTCAATGGTTTGTTCTCCAGGCTTCCAGTGTGAGTGGAGCAACCAGAACAAGRCTGTGTTTCTGTGGAGGTTTGGAGGTGACTGAGGGGGGAAAAATGAAGCTATGCTCGACTAAAATTAAACACACCAGTGCCTGAAAGCAAAGTTGTAAAGTAACTAAGTACAAATACTTTGTTACTGTACTTAAGTAAATTTTTGTGTATCTGTACTTTGAGTAATTATTTTTCAGCCTACTTTTTACTCCTTACATTTTTAAAAAGGCAAGAAGTAGAAATTTGTTACTTTTATTTCATTTTTGCTTGTTTTCATTCCAGCTTGTTATTGTAAAAAATAAATACTATCCATATAAACTGTGCCTCCTAGATAGAGTGAATTTAATTGTGGTTGAATGAGAAGTATAAATATCTAAAACTCTGATATTGTATTAGTTTGTGCACAAACAAATCATGTCACACTGCAGCAGGACATCATCATTAACATAAAAGAAATGTACCTTAGATCTGACATTTCTGCATTTTTGGGGAGGTCACCTCCTAATAAATGTTATGAAAAATCTAACTGCTCATTTTAAATCAATACTTTTACTTTTATACTTAAGTACAAAAACATCTGATACTTTAAGACTTTTACTCAAGTAATATTCCTAAAGGAGACTTTAACTTTTTACCAAAGTAATTTTTTGTTAGATACTTGTACATTTACTATAGTATCATTTTGTGGTACTTTAATACAACACTGCCTGAACGTGGTAGACTGCTGCTGCTTTGAAATCAAACTCTTTTTGCAGCGATAAAGCTCTAAAAAWGCTTCAAACCGAGCAGTTCAAATGCACCTGCAGCCTCGCATACCTTGACCTTACAAAGGCAACGACTTAACTCTGACAGCCTGAAACTGCTGATTTATTAAACTTTTAACCTCTTTATTTGCTTTGATAAAAATAATAGAGGGACACAAACACGTTTAAATTACTTGCTTGTGTGTCACCGCGTGATATTTGTTAAGGGAAGCAAAAGTCAAGCAGTGTAGGGTTTCATTTTAAGCTATTTTCTGCAGAGCTAATCGAAGCTAGCTGAAGTTAGCTTCTGCATCTTATTCGATTTTATGTGATTAAATGTTGGGATTCAAAGCTCCCAAAGCTTTATYATTGGTTACACATTACTATCAAGCTATACGTGTAACAAGATGCAATTGAGAATCGTTTCGGTTTTGATTTAGTATCAGACAAAAGGGTTTTGACAGCTTCGTTAGCATCCAAGCTAACACGCTGCATGCCAACTGGAGCTGATCAATTAAAAGTCATTCAACGGCGGACATTTTAATAATTTTTCATACTGTTAGTTTTATGAGTTCTTTAATGTGAGTACTACACACATGAAAGCATGATGTTACAAAATCTGTTCAGTTAATTCCTAAAATCCTGTACAACGCCTTGCTGTAGCTGAAGGGATTCTTGACTCAAAACCCGCCCACTTAGTTGATAGAATCCCGTCTCGGCCAATCAGATCGAAMAATTGGAGAGCAGGTGCTGCCTCCAGCCAATAGGAAGAAAGCAAAGTGGGCCGTCTATCCTCGCCTGCTCGCGAACGCTTCGCTTAGCAGTGGCTTTATTCAGAAGTAAAGCAGTGCGGTGCGTTTTAAACCGCCGTACGCGAAAGTTTACCATCTTACCCATCGTCAGAATGGTGCTCCTCGTTTTCACAGTCGCTACAGTGTCCGTGGTCCTCTACATCTTCTTTCTCCGGCATCGGTGCTGTCTCATTCTCATCCGCCATCTTCACCAGGAAGTGAGGAGACTCCGTGCCGTCGACGCCTTTAAAKCTGCCTCGATGCTATTGGCTCGGAGGCGTTCTCGTATTTACGTTAAACGAAAGCGTTCTGGATGTTTTAGTCTTTGTTTTAAACTAGTATCAACGTGCACAATTTCATTAGTATGATCTATGTGCATACAGCGTGATTTCGCTGCTCTTAAACGGTCGTACAGACCCTTGTTTGGCTGTCAGTGTTATGCACAATTCTGTTACCCCGTCTAGGTGAAGCCGCACCAACTCTGCACTGATGACGTAATTCAATACAACACTGCACCACATGCGGTCTATTTCTTCACTTCTAATTTGTCAGTAATTAAATAATTATGTGTAATTGTTAATAGTTTGGGTGGAGATAATTTAAGTAATAGAAGTTTACATACTTTAAGTAAAATATGTATATTGTAATTATTATTTAAAGTTCCCTTTTATCAAAATAAAAGAACTGCATTGTAAGGGTATATAAATGCTTATAAAAGAATGTGACAGGCAATTTGCATTCCTTCAAAATATGTTGTTTGTTTTTAACACACCAGTTTTCACATGAAGAAGCAAGCAAAATCTTTAAAAAAAACAGTCATTTTACTTTGTTTATGTTGTTACAGAAAATCACCTCAGACACATAAACTGTAATTACAGCAGATTGTAAGCATCACCTTCCATTAGAAAACCATTTTATTGTCAGTGCAGTCTGCAGAAACTGCAGGTGACGTGTTGTTAGTCCTAAAACTGGCAGCAGACATAAACACTCACGGTTGTCAGTGAACTAAACACAGTTTATATCAAAAGTTAATCACGATTTCTCTTAATATTTCTTTTCAATGTGTTTAAAATGTCAATAAGGCAGATAAGTGCTGATAAATACTAAATACTAAAAATATTAAAAAGTTATGGTAACTTTCAGTCATTTGCTTTGAAGACAAAGGTGATCAAGTTTAAGTATAAAGTAAGACTGACTGAATTAACTCTAAGACATTTCTCCATCTTCTACCTGTCTTCAGTCAGGTGGCGGGGGCAACAGGTGCAGAGGGGAAACCCAGACCTCCCTCTCCCCTGTGGCGCTCTGAATGGAGGACCCCAAAGTGTTCCTAGGCCACCACCAAGTTCTGGGTCTGACCCGGGAGCGTCGTAAGGCATTCACAAAAATATTTCACATAACAGTGCAAAAAAAAAAAGAAATGTCTAAGACAACAGTTTTGTTTTAACCGCAGCTTATGTTTCCTATTTAAAAGTCAGTTTTGTTTTTAACTCTTACATTTTCAGTTAAAACATATAAAATATAAAAAAGTTAACATTGAAATGTTTTGTTTTTGTGCTTCAGTCTTCAGCGTTTCATCACCTCTTGCTTTCAGGAAGTGGCTGAGGGAAATTTAAACCTCTGGCCCGGCAGTCCCCGAAGACGTCATTTCTTAGAAACTGATCTTTTTCGTCGGTTCGGATGACGTTCGTATTTTGCCTTTAGCTATGGCCATCCGCTCCGACACGGTTTTGACAGGAACTCCTCTGCGGGTCACTTTSACGTGGACGAAGAGCGTCGCCGGCGACAGACTGGAGCCGTCCGCCCGCAGCAGGTGAACGTGTCGATAACCTGGGTGYGTTGAACACACGTTAGAGACGACACGTGAAGGGAGGGAGCTGTGATTGACGTGCGGGGGGCGGGGCGGGGCACCTGTGCGGAGGCTGGTGAAGGGCAGAGTGTACTGTCCCACGAAGTCGTTCTTGGCGGTGTGGTCGTGGTCCTCCACCACGAAGCGCACCAGAGCCAGCTCAGGAACCTGCAGCTGGAAGCTCAGCGTGCAGTCCCACCGAGGGTTGAAGCCTGCAGGGGGCGCACAAGAGCTGTGAGGACGACTGAGGGGGAAGGAAAGACCAACAAACTGAAATGGCATTAAAAAATGCTGAGTCAGCATTCTCAGTTTGTTTTCTTGTTTACGGTTTCTTCTTCAGTCAAACTACTTCTACGTACTTTGATATATTAACTGTATGAAAATGTTCGGCTCTAATAAGAGTAGTGTGGTCTGGATCAAAATATTAAACTTTATATCTATTTAAATAAACCTATAAAAAGCTTGTAGCTTTGCCTTTATTAATCTTATATACTGCTCTGTTGCTTTTAGCTTTTTAGATTTAGATACAGTTTTGCTCATTTTAGCTACTGCTTTGCTAATATTACCTTTAGTGTTTTTTTATTATTATTTTAGTTTAATTTCACTTAGTGTTTAGCTTGTTTTCGCTTTTCTGCTCCTTTAAGCTTTTGACAACTGTTCTGTTGCTTTTAGCCTCTAGCTACTGTTCTGCAACTGCTAGATTTTAGCTTGTGTTTTGCTATTTTTAGCTAGTGATTTGCTGATATTAATGTTAGTATTTGTTTTAKGTTTAGCTCCTGTTTTACATCTTTCAGTTGGTTTATTTTAGCTGTTGTTCTGCATCTATTTGCTTTTAGCAACTGTTTAGCTTTTAGCTTGTGTTGTGCTGCCTTTAGCTACTCATTTTACTGATTTAAAGGTTAGCATCTGTTTTGTTAAGTTTAGCTCCTGTTTTATTTGTTTTTTTATTATTTTTGTGTTTATTTTAGCTGTTCTTCTGCTTCTTTGAGCTATTAGCAACTGTTTAGCTTTCGGCTTGTGTTTTTCTACTTTTAGCTTCTGATTTGATTATTTTAAATGTAGCTTTTTTTTTTACTAAGTTTAGCTCCCGTTTTCCTTCTTTTAGTTGATTTTGTTCATTTTAACTGTTCTTCTTTAAGCTTTTGGCAGCTGTTCTGCTTTTAGATTTTCGCTTGTTTTTGGCCCATTTTAGCCTCTTTTTTAAATTTATCTTTAACTCAGTTTTAGCTTATTCTCCAGTCATTTTAAATTTTTACCGTCACTTCTTGCATATTTAAAACTTTTCAAATTAAATGTCCTAACAGACATTAATTTGCAAAAATATTTGCATTCATTTTCTGCCTCGGTGCRTTTTCAGCTATAAAATAAATTCTAGTTACATCATTTCCAAAACGTTAAATCACCGTTYTTGTCGATGCGGTGGGTTTTCTTCTTGGAGTTATCGATGGCCACCCCGTGAATTTCCACCAACACCTGTGGATCCACGATTGAGCTGGCTTTCTCTGCGTTGATTTTCGGCAGCTGCTGTGCAGATATTATCTGTAAAACAAAAAAAAAAAGGTCAGTTTTGCTCAGGAAATACGGATTAGAAATGAGTTAAATGTGTATTTATGTACAATTTATTTGGATGATTGACACATTCATTCCYTCTGGGCATCACAAAACATCCATTTATTGATTTAAAAATGAAAAAAAAAAAACAGCAGAGGAACTCTATTTTTTCATTTTGCTGAAAGCASACAAGCGATGAATGCACAGAAATCCTCTCACCCTGATCGTCAGCTGGGTGGGGGTGTGGCCCGGGCCTCCGCCGGTGTTCTCCGGGTCAAAGTCAGARGTGGGGCTGCACAGGAAGTCAGGCTTCAGGACGTATCCACAGCGACCGTTCGGGAGGAAGCGACCCTGGTTCAGGTCCATCTGCTCCCCAGGTGTCTGGAAGTTCAGCGCCACTAAACAACAAAATGCAAACGATTCAACACACACACACACACACTGAGTTACAGATTTTCTGTTAAATTTAAAACGTGTATCTGAACCACATCCTCACTCTGAGTACTGACCCAGCTGGCAGCCACAGTTCCACATTTCCTGAGGATCATAGTTGGATGATTGCAGGCGCTGGCCGGAGGGGTAGATCCGGCTCAGCTGCCTGCTGTTGTGCCGAGCAAAAAGCTTCCCTGCAAAATAAAAAAAAAAGACACACTTGAGGCTGATTATGCATTCAGCAGATGGAGCTGGACAAAAGACTTGAAGTGGGTCCAGATGCAGTCATTTCTCTCTGCCGTACCCGAGTCTTTGATGAGTTTGAGCGCTTCGCACTCTGAGAAGGACGACATCTCATTCGGCGGTAGTTTGGACACGTGTTCGAAGCCTCGGAAGGCGGCGGTCCTGCAGTACACCACCAGCTCCGACAGCTCAGGGCTGAGTTTAGAGCAGATCTAACAACAGACACGTGAAAGGAAACGGGCTGATTAAACAATCTGAAAACARGTCTGAGACGCGACTCCTCCTGGACGGACCTTGGCGGGGTCGTTCTTGTTCCTGCTGACGCTCGCCGGCTCCTCTTCGGTGCTCGACGAGAAGCTGGCGACGCTGCCGTTCTTACTGAGCTGGTCCAGGCGAGGTGTCAGCTTCTTCCCCTTCACCAGAATGCGCCACTTCAGCTCCTGCAGGGAAAGGTTTGCTGGAGTTAAAATTAGTAAGCTGGTAGCGAAACACAAGCTAAAAGCTAATACAGCTAAAARAAACAAAACTAACTGAAAAGAAGTAAAACAGGAGCTAAACTTAAAAACTGAATTAAAATTAGCAAATCAGAAGCTAAAAGCTAATACAGCTAAAATAAACAAAACTAACTGAAAAGAAGTAAAACATGAGCTAAATTTAAAACTGAAGTCAAAATTAGCAAAACACAAGCTAAAAGCTAATACAGCTAAAATAAACAAAACTAACTGAAAAGAAGTAAAAAATGAGCTAAACTTAAAAACTGAAGCTAAAATTAGCAAAACACAAGCTAAAAGCTAATACTGCTAAAATAAACAAAACTGTAACTGAAAATAAGTAAAAAAAAGAAGCTAAGCTTAACAAAAACTGGAGTAAAATTAACAGATCAGTAGCTAAAAGCAGCTAAACATAAGCTGTAAGATGGTAGCAAAACACAAGCTAAAAGCTAATACAGCTAAAACAAAAAACTAACTGAAAAGAAGTAAAACAGGAGCTAAACTTAACAAAAGAAATGCTGAATTTAACAAGAATAAATCAGTAGCTAAAAGCAGTAAAACAAGTGTTCTCCATTCAATCTCAATGGTTACTGTATTTTTGTGGTTATTTTCGGCTCATACTTCTGGAGACGGCAGCTCTTTCACTGGCAGCTCGTCCAGAGGTTTGGTGAGCAGTTTTTCGCCCAGAATGGTGCGGAGGTGTCTGGCCATGACGGCCTGCTGCTCCACAGAACAGTGATTCTCCAAGGAGAGGATCAAAGGGTACGGGGACGTCTGCAGGGAGGAACAAAGAGCCCGACGGCGTGTGTCAAAACCAAATTACAAAATGTTGTTACAACAGGAAGGTTGGGAGGTGCAGCAGCCGTGACGTCGCAGCTGACAGGGTGATTCATACCTTAAAGCCGTACTGCGAGATGGTTTCGATGACTTCTTTAAAAGGAACCTTGGAGGTGAGGGTGTGGCCGTGGTAGATGACAGGCTCACCTTTATCTCCGTCCCAGCAGTCCAGCTCCACACAGCGGCAGCCCTGAATCAGAGCCCTGACCGGATGGAATCAGCTTAAATTAAAAAGAACCCTGGCTAGTTGTAGCATTAGACATTATTTGATAAATATTTACTTTAACTGTAAAATAAAGACTGTAAAAACTCTAGAGGCTGTTTTGGTTTTATAAATTAAAAAAAGTTACACGGATGACACCACATTATTTATGCTGCAAAGCATACCAGGTAGATGATGACATTTACTAGGTGCTATAGTGCAAGACTGGAGCTATATCCACCCTGAAGGTTAATTCTGGACAAAATCTCACAATCAGCCCTTTTACATGAAATCAGGGAGCGTTGACAGAGAGGAGAAGTTAGAAATGAGTCAGTCTGTGACTGAAATGATGAAGGCAGGACAACAGAGCTGTTTCATGGAAGGAGAACCTCAGCTTAGCCTGTTAACTTTCGCGTTAGCCCCCGAGCTAGAACATTTGTATATGGCAATATAGCGTTAGCGTCTGAGCTAATACACGTGTATAAGACAATATAGTGTTAGCACCCGAGCTAATTCATATGTATATGGCGAAACTGCATTAGCACCTGAGCTAATACCTATGTATAAGGCACTATAGCGTTAGCGTCCGAGCTAATACATATTTATATTGTGCTATAGCGTTAGTGCCTAAACTAATACATACATACTAGAGGTGCAACAATACATGTACCCGTATCGAACAGTTTCGAACCGTATCGAACAGTGCTGTATCGAACAATATAGATTTTAAAAATTTACTTTATCAACTTGTCTTCTGAAGATGCTCTGTGTTGAAGGATCAGTGGATCTGTGTTCGACTACTCRACCTAGGCTGCATTTTTGAGCGCAGATCCACTGAGAAACTTGCTGTTTCAGCAACATTTAATTTAATAACTGTACTTTTTAGGTTAAACAAAGGTTCATAATTAATATAAATAAATTACAAGTTAAAAGGGGCATGGAAATTTCTCTTCTTTGTATTGAAAAAATATCAAACCGTGAGACTAAAGTATCGAACCGAACCGTGAATTTCCTGTAGCGTTGCACCCCTAATACATACACATGCAACATTAGCACCTGAGCTAAAAATATGAGTTTGGGAACTGATGCCAAAAATACTGTATGTGGTTTTATTTAATTTCATAGCTAACATTATACAGTATATATAA